CATCCAGTAGTGTCACTTAAATTATATATTGCTCACGCATGCCATGGGTATATGTAGAATAATACCCAAAAACACATTCTGCTACTTCTCCCGAGTATGGGGGGTACCACATATGAGAGACTTTTTGGCAGCCTAGCCACACACATGCCCCCAAAATCCAATGCCCACCTCCAGGTTTTCAAAGGGCATATTTCCTCATATCACTTCCTCACTACCTATCACGGTTTTGGAGGCCCTAAAATGCCAGAATAGTGCAAATCACCCCCTCAAATGACCCCTTTTTGGAAAGTAGACCCCCCAAGGAATTTGATAAGAGGCATGATGGGTATTTTTGAGTATTTTGCAGATATCATTTTTGTCACAGGGTTTTGAAAAAGGATAAAAGAAAAGAAAAAAAATACATTTTCATTTTCTTTCTTCGTTTTCCAAAAACTTGTAGCTACAAATGAAATCTGCAAAATACTCACCATGCTTCTTATGAAATACCTTGGAGTGTCTACTTTCTGAAAAGGGATCATTTGGGGGTGGGGGGTGCTTCTACTATCCTGACATTTCAGGGCCAACATTAGAAGCTTATGCCAAATATCACCCACTTTTCTAACCACTTGAAGACCAAGCCTTTGACACTTTTTTGTTTACTTGAAAAAACAGTTTTTTTGCTAGAAAATTACTTTGAACCCCCCACAATTATATATTATGTTAAGCAGAGGCCCTAGAAAATAAAATGGTGGGTGTTGACCTTTTTTGTGTCACACAGTATTTGCGCAGCGATTTTTCAAATGCAAATTCTTGGAAAAATACTCTTTTTAGAATTTTAATGCACAAAAACACAATATATTGGGCAATTGTTTGATAAAATATAAAAGATGATGTTACATCGAGTAAATGGATACCAAAAAAAACATTTAAAACTGCTTTAAAATTGCGCACGCCCATGCAACGGCGACAACTTGCATACATTTTTACTATCCATAGGCGACGCTTTAAAAGCATTTACAGGTCACCACTTTAGATTTACACAGGAGGTCTAGGCTAAAATTACCGCCCTCAGTCTGACATTCAAAGTGATACCTCACCTGCATGGTGCAATCTCTGTTTACATGCTGCCACGGGACTGATGCTTAGGTTTGCTTTTGAACGCAAGCACGGGGATGGGGGTGACATTTTTTTTTTTCATTATTTATTTTGCTGTCCCTTTCATTTTTTCTATCAATCACTTTTATTGTTACCACAGGGAATGTAAATATCCTATGTGATAGCAATAGGCAGTGCCAGGTATTCTTTTCTGAGACATCTGGGGTCTACTAGACTCTAGATCTCTCCTATTCCCTTAAGGCATCTGATCACACCAAGATCAGTGTTATCAGATGCTTCCCCAATTTTAAAATGGCACTGTTTATATCTGGTGAAATGGAATGGGGAAATGCTCGTAGCTTCCAAACACTTAGACCACAGAGATGATTGGGGGCATTCCAGTCACAGATCAGCTCTATTGCCAGCCATCAGAACTGCCGGCTGAATTTTTGGGTTCCCCTGTGGGACGGGAGAGCCCAAGAAAACCTTGGAAGGCAGTTGGAGGGATGGGGAGTCCCTTCCCACTACTTGTAAAAATGATACAGCAGCTAATTAGCAGCTAGGATTATTTTCACATGAAAGCCATCTGAAAAAAACGATACCTGTACCACTCAAAGTCCAGAGACGTACCAGTAGGTTGCTGGTCCATGTGGGGCATATATGTAACAGCAAAAAAATCTATCTCTCTACCCCTCACCTCACCCATTCAGTCTCCGCCCGTATCACAAGCCTACTGAGCGACATATCGGTTTGGATGTCACTCCACTTCCTCAAACTAAATCTTTCCAAAACTGAGCTCCTAGTTTTCCCCCCAGCCCACGCCACCCCCCCCCCCCCCCCGACTTCTCCATCAAGACCAACAACACTACCATCAGTCCCACCCTTCAAGCCAGAGTACTATGTGTCATCCTAGCAGGGGCGGACTGACCATTTGGAAACTCGGGCACTGCCCGAGGGCCCGGGGTCAGTAGGGGGCCCCATGAGATGCCCCTGGTACCTTTTTCATAAGCTTTTTTGAGTTTGGGCAAGGACACAGGGGCCCCATGATCCCCTATTGCCTGGGGGCCCCATGAGTTGTCAGTCCACCCCTGCAACCTAGACTCCAATCTGTCCTTCCAGCCCCAGGTCCAATCGCTGACAAACTCATGTAGACTTCACCTCCACAACATCTGCAAAATACGACCGTTCCTAACCTCAGAAACCACTAAGCAACTCATTCACTCCCTTATTATATCACGCCTCGACTACTGTAACTCCCTCCTCATCGGCTTACCTCATCGCAGGCTATCCCTTCATCAGTCTAACTTGAATGCTGTGGCCAGACTCATCCACCTTACTAACCGCTCCGTATCTGCCACCCCCCTCTGCCAATCCCTCCACTGGCTTCCCATTGCCCAACGGATAAAATTCAAAACGCTAACACTGACGTATAAAGCTGTTCATAATACTGCCCCAAACTACATCACCGATCTTGTCTCCAAATACTACCCAAAACTCAGCTAATTACTGAACTCCTCCACTCTTCCTACCACTCCATCCCCCACAGCTATTTGCTCCTGTACCACTATCCCCTCCCTCCTAGATTGTAAGCTCCAAGGAGCAGGGCCCTCGAACCCCTCATGTATTGAATCGTATTGTTACTGTAAGGTCTCGTGTACTGTCACCCACCTAATGTAAAGCGCTAAGCAAACTGTCGGCGCTATATAAATCCTGTAATAATAATAAAAAGAACATGATGGGCATATAATGAATCGGGTCTGTGGACCAATATGATCACAATTTCATTATTTTTACTAATGCCCGTGTTGAGGGTTAAAAAAAATTTTTAAATTCAGAAGCTGTGATAGGTTTCTGTCAAGAGCTGAATTTGGGTGGGCGGCCATGTATTTTTGTGCATATAAATTGCTTTAGCCACAATCAATTAATACAAATCTTCCATAAAAACACAGCGGTGGGGCTAAACACTAGTGCTGGTAGCGAACGGGGGCGATCCTAACACTGCATTTTTTGGGCCACAATACAAAGGAGGCACTAGTATAGTTCTGTGCGTGATCAAACACTATACTAGTAATGGCGGTGATCAGCGACCTATAGCTAGCTGACCCTGGCTGGAACACTAACTGACCCTGACGCTATCTGAAAAATTCTATATACTGACACTATACTAATGGCTCTGGCTGGGTGACTGGATGATCAAAGGGTTAATGGGGAGATCAAACAGTTAAATGTGCTAATCTAATGTGTGTGTAAAATGTAGTGTTTTTAGGGATGTGCTCCTTCTCTCCTTTGACAGAATAGGGGGCAGCGGGGGGAGGGGCGCAGTAAGATTACATCGCTTTGCCCAGAGCCGCCGCTCACCCGCCCATTGTTGGCGGGCAGGAGGCAAGTAGTTTAAGAAAAAAAAATCAAAAACAATAATTTTTTTTAAAACATTTTTTATTTTTTTAAACATTATTTTTCTTTTTTTAAACTTTTTTTTTAAATACTTTCATCAGAGTAGTGCAATGTTACCATAGTAACAGTGTACTACTCTGGGGGGAAGATCAGGGATTTGTTTTTTCTTTTTTTACACTTTGCATTGTATGAGCAATGAAGATTACTGCTCTGCAATGCAAGGCTTGCTTTGAACTGTTATGAATTTGTTAAAGTGTTACTAAACCCGCAACAATAAAAGCCATTACTAGTAAAAAAAAGAAGAAAAAAAAAAGTATATACAGTATAACACCATTTGTTGATGCTATAACTTTCACATAAACCAATTAATTTACACGTATTGGGATATTTTTTTAGCAAAGACATGTCGCAGGATACATTTTGGCCTAAATCTATGAAGAAATTTTATTTTTAGAATTTTTTTTGCTGGATATGTTTTGTAGAACTAAAGTAAAAAATATAGTTTTTTTTCTCAAAATTGTCGGTCTTTTTTTGTTTATAGCGCAAAAAATTTAAAATGCAAAGGTGATCAAATACCACTGAAAGAAAGCTCTATTTGTGGGAAAAAAAGGATGTAACTTTTGTTTGAGTATGGCATTGCATGGCCACCAAATTACCAGTTGAAATACTGCAGCGCCGTAATGCAAAAAATGGCCTGGTCAGGAAGGGGGGTAAATCCTCCGAAGGGCAAGTGGTTAAAGGGACATTAACCTAATAAATTTAATAGCTCTTTCTTTGCCTCAGAATTGAACCCTGACATCAGTCTCTGAGAGACCAAAGTAAATTAGCCATACTGTTTGGTGGTTTCTTTGCTCACTGGGGAAAAGACATCTCAGGACTGGGACTACTGGTTAAATTCTGAATTGCAAGAACTGATTGAGCTTTTGCTGTGTTTGACTTTTACTACGAGTGATAGCGATTATTTCATGCACAAATGTTTCTGTTGCTTTACTGTGCTGACATTTGATCTCAATACAATCAAAATGTCAGTCCACTCTAAACTGTCTGTGAATCTAATTTGTGGTTGCAGCCAGAGGGTTCCTCTGACTAGAGGTTTAACCTGCTGCTGCCCGCCATATGAGATAATGACGGGCGCAAGGTGGTTCTCTCGTTCTGGGAGGACGTCATATGACGTCCTCCCACTCTAACCAAGCATGCGTGGCTCCGGGAGCGCGCAGTGCGGCGATAGGTGCTGCGCTGTGTCCCTCGGACACAGCGGATCACCAATCAACGGAAAGAGCCGAAGATGTCGGCTCGGTCATGTGATCAACTGTGTCCAATCACAGCTGATCACATGTAAATAGGAAAATGCTGGTTATAGGCATTTCTCTCCCCACGAGCTGTCACGCTGACAGCTCGTGAGGAGTGGAGAGCCGGTAATCGGCATTACTCAGAGGGGACATGTACACTGATCATAAGGGCACTGATGATCAGTGTGCCCTGATGATCAGTGTAGCCCCAGCAGTGCCACCTGTCAGTGTCCATCAATGCCACCTGTCAGTGCCCATCAATGCCACATCAGTGCCACATATCAGTGCCTACCAGTGCACATCAATGCCACATATCAGTGCCCATCTGAGCTGCCTTTCAGTGTCACCTATCATTGCTAGTCAGTGCCACCTATCAGTGCTGCCAATCAGTGCCACCTATCAGAGCCAGTCAGTGCCTCCTATCAGTGCGCATCAGTGCTGCCTATCAGTGCCTGTCAGTGCTGCCTATCAGTGCCGCCTAACAGTGCCTGTCAGTGCCGCCTATCAGTGCCAGTCAGTGCCGCCTATCAGTGCCAGTCAGTGCCACCTATCAGTGCCATATATGATTGCTGCCTTTCAGTGCCCATCAGTGATGTCTGTCAATGCCCATCAGTGTCACCTACCAGTGCCACCTATCAGTGCCCATCAGTGCAGCCTCATTAGCACACAACAGTGAAGGAGAAAAATCACTTACAGTATTTACAAAATTTTATAACAAAAACTAAGACAAAACACATTTTTTTTTCAAAATCTTCAGCTGTTTTTGGTTTGTTTAGCAAAAAATAAAAACCCAGAGGTGATTAAATACCACCAAAAGAAAGCTCTATCTGTCTCAAAAAAATGATAAAAATTACATATGGGTACAGTGTTGCATGACTGCGCAATTGTCATTCAAAGTGCGACAGCGCTGAAAGCTGGAAATTGGCCTGGGCAGGAAGGGGGTATAAGTGCCCGGTAGGCTAGTGGTTAAGGTAATGTCAGCAGGGGTTGAGCTTTCACAGCGGGGTCAGGCAAGACAGAGAACCCAAAAATTACTCAGCGACCCCTGAGGTATTAGTGCTACATCTGCATGGCACCATCGATCTACTGATCGCTGGTGCAATGCTTTACAGACTCCTGCAACAAAAAATAATAATTGCACATTTTTTTATCTGCAAAAAAATGTGCATTTATTATTTTTTGTCAAAAGGTGAACTTATGCTTTAACTGACTATTTTGCAGTTAGCCCTTTTTTTGTACATTTTTATTTTCATGACTGTCACTTTTAAGAGCTTTTCACCAGCACAGGTGAATTAGGAATAAGATGATATGTAAATTAAACCACACTGCAACAGCTGTGGCTGTGTCTCTTTTAGGCTAGGTTCACATCTGTGCGGGTGGTGCCACTGCTGATCCACGTGAAAATCCATGCAGCCGCACCACCCGCACAGAGGAATGCAGACCCGCCTAGTTCTAATGGCAGGCCACCCGCACTGGAAAACACAACTGTACTGGGAACCGAGGTTCCTGTGCGGGCTGCCTTTTCAGAAGAAGTGCAGGGACCTCTTTCCTGCATGTCACGGGGCACGGAGTCCTTTCAAATGAATGGGCTCTTGTGCCCACGCAAAACGCGGCCCACACAGCAGCAAATATGTGAACCAGGGCTCAGTGTAAGTACCTGAATTTGACCTGATATCAGCCAGTTGCAGTCTCTGTACAGTAGGGCTGGACTGTAAAATAAGGCAGCAGTACAAGAAAACCAATCAGTCTGTGAGCGGGGCCACCTCATCCAAGCATGTGTGTGTGTGTGTGTGTGTGTGTGTAGGGGGGGGGGGGGTACCTCTCGTGTACATACTCATCACTCAATGAGAGCCGACATTAAGGTGGAACCCCAGCTTAGAGATGAGCTGTACACTGTGTGCAGCTGTATGATCTATAGAGTCTGGATGTAAAATGTGCTGTCCCGTGTCACTACACACCCTTCTCTTTGAATGTTTCATTTAGGAGGGACACCACTGAGCCTCTGTCCTCTCCACCAGACAGTGCTTTAACCACTTGCTGCCCAATGAAGTACCTGTATGTCCTCGGGGTTGAGTGGGTAGACCTGGGCCAAAGCTTCAGCAGTAGCCATGATCCCAGTATCTTTTTTTCCACCGGCGATGCTGAATAAAGAAAAAGCGATCCAAGCAGTTAATTAGCTTCACCAGTTGCAGTTTACAGGGATGGGAGTAACCATTTAACACTGGCAGGGGTGCTTACAATAATCAGCTTCTGTTTATGTAGAAGCCTTTAACCCAAACCTGTAACTGTTTATAAAGTATGAGCTGAAGTTTGACTTCAATCTGTTTATTATTTAAATCTGCTAGTACAGGGCTTGAAATTTCCACTCGCCTGCTCGCCAATGGCGAGTGGAAATTATGGTGGGGGCAAGTGTGTCCCCCAGGGCCGTCTTGCTGAGAATGCTCGGAGCTCAGGCCAGATCTGTCATTGGCACTGGGAGCCCTCAGACTGCTCAATAGCTGAGGTCAGTGAAAGCAAAGCAAGGAGTGTGTGCTGTGCTCTCTGCCTCCCTCTGGAGTGCAGTACCCGGATCTGTAAGTGAACAACGAAGTACTGCAACGTTTTATGGGGGGGTGGGGGGTGTGTACGTGTACATGTACATGTGTGTTTGTTTGTTTGTGTGTGTCTGTGTATGCATGTACAATTGTACATATGTCTGGGTGTATGTACATGTGTGTATCTGTACATGTGTCTGCGTGTATGTACATGTGTGTGTGTGTACATGTGTCTGTGTGTGTCAGGGCTCCGGGTATGACCAGAGGTATGTGAACTGACGCAGGGAAACGCAGGCTTCAGATATGTTATAAACAATATAATTTATTAATACTAACAATACAAAACGCAGTGCAATACTAAAACATAAACAAAGTGCAAACGAACCAAACCAAGCCACCCACAGATAACAATACATACATTGCAAGCGTAGTCAGGCAGGCCGGGTCAATAACAATCGGGCAGGTAGGAACAGGAGGAGCAGGCAGAGAGTAGTCAGGTCACGAGCCGGGTACAGCAACTAATGGGCAGGTAGGTACAGGGGGTCAGGCAGAGAATGGTCGGGGTCACAAGCCAGGGATCAAACAGGAGAAGTCAGCAGAGGTCAGGATCAGGCAGGGTCAGCAACGAGTCAGTCAGGCAGGAACAGGAACAGGAACAGGAATGCAGGTAAGAAGATACAGGGGCCCATAGAAAAACACACACCAAGGCACAGACTGCAGGTATGGCCATCCCTTAAATACACCTGCAATCAGCCTCAGGTGTTTGGCTGACTGCAGGGTTGAGTCTCTGATTGCTGAGAGCACCCGCTGGCCAGCCCTGGTACTGCAGCCCACAAGGCAGGTGAGTCCCACCATTATTGGCAAGTCCATTCCTGACAGTACCCCCCCCCTCAAGGAGCGGCCTCAGGACGCTCCAAACAGTCCTAGCTGGGCAAAATGTTCCACCGCCTGGGTCTGGTAACTGGCGGGATATCAAAGACTGGCACATCGGGCTGGACTCCGGGCAGAGGCACATCGGGCTGGACTCCGGGCAGAGGCACATCGGGCTGGACTCCGGGCAGAGGCACATCGGGCTGGACACCGGGCAGAGGCACATCGGGCTGGACACCGGGCAGAGGCACATCGGGCTGGACACCGGATCACCAGGCGGAGCAGCAGGCACCGGATCACCAGGCGGAGCAGCAGGCACCGGGCCACCAGGCGGAGCAGCAGGCACCGGGCCACCAGGCGGGGGCAGCAGGCACCGGGCCACCAGGCGGGGCAGCAGGCACCGGGCCACCAGGCAGAGCAGCAGGCACCAGGCCCCCAGGCGGAGCGGCGGGCACCGGGCCCCCAGGCGGGGCGGTGGGCGCCGGGCCCCCAGGCGGAGCGCCTGGCGCCGGGCCCTCAGGCGGAGCGGTGGGCACCGGGCCCCCAGGAGGAGCAGCGGGCACAGGGCCCCCAGGCGGGGCGGCAGGCACTGGACCCCCAGGCGGAGCTGCGGGCACCGGGTCATCAGGCACGGACAGCGGGCATCGGGTCACCAGGCATCAGGTCATTTAACTCGCCAGCGGGCACCGCGTCATCTGGCAAGGCAGTGGGCACCGAGTCACCAGGCACGACAGTGGGCTCCGAGTCAACTGGCATGACCGCGGGCACTGGGTCAGACATTGGATCGTATGGCTCGACAGCGGGCATCGGGTCACCAGGCATCAGGTCATTTGGCTCGACAGCGGGCACCGCGTCATCTGGCAAGGCAGTGGGCATCGAGTCACCAGGCACGACAGTGGGCTCTGAGTCAATTGGCACGACAGCGGGCACCGGGTCATCAGGTACCGGATCGTCTGGCTCGACAGCAGGCACCGGGTCATCTGGCGCTGGATCGTCTGGCTCGACAGCGGGCATCGGGTCACCAGGCATGATAGCGGGCACTGGGTCATCAGGCATTGGATCGTCTGGCTCGACAGCGGGCATCGGGTCACCAGGCATGACAGCGGGCACCGGGTCATCAGGTACCGGATCGTCTGGATCGACAGCGGGCACCGGGTCATCTGGTGTTGGATCGTCTGGCTCGACAGCGGGCATCGGGTCACCAGGCATGACAGCGGGCACTGGGTCATCAGGCATTGGATCGTCTGGCTCGACAGCGGGCATCGGGTCACCAGGCATGACAGCAGGCACTGGGTCATCAGGCATTGGATCGTCTGGCTCGACAGCGGGCATCGGGTCACCAGGTATGACAGCTGGCACCGGGTCATCAGGTACCGGATCGTCTGGCTTGACAGCGGGCATCGGGTCACCAGGCATGACAGCGGGCACTGGGTCATCAGGCATTGGATCGTCTGGCTTGACAGCGGGCATCGGGTCACCAGGCATGACAGCAGGCACTGGGTCATCAGGCATTGGATCGTCTGGCTCGACAGCGGGCATCGGGTCACCAGGTATGACAGCTGGCACCGGGTCATCAGGTACCGGATCGTCTGGCTCGACAGCGGGCCATCGGGTCACCAGGCATGACAGCGGGCACAGGGTCATCAGGCATTGGATCGTCCGGCTCGACAGCGGGCATCGGGTCACCAGGCATGACAGCGGGCACTGGGTCATCAGGCATTGGATCGTCTGGCTCGACAGCGGGCATCGGGTCACCAGGTATGACAGCGGGCACTGGGTCATCAGGCGTGATAGGATCATCAGGGTACAGACATCAGGCTGGGTAGAGACATCAGGCTGAAATGCGGGTGCCGAGGCACCAGGCTGAACCACGGAAGGCAGGTTCTCAGACGGCAGCTCACCGGTTTGGATACTGGCAGGATGGTACTGGTTGGAAAGAATTTTCGCTTTTTTTTGGTTTTAACTACTGGAGCACTGCAAGTAAACGCAGGTCTGCAAATGAATGGAGCAGCCGAGGACATAGAAGAGCTGGAAGATGGAACAGAGGAGGAAGCAGCCGCCACAGAGGACCTCTCCACAGGGCCAAAGAAAGGATAGGTGCAGCGAGTGGGAGCAGGGGACTGGTATGTGGTAGTTAGCAGAGTATACTGGGCCGTCACTGGGGGTGCTGTCGGGGATGCAGGAAGAGTGCCTTGAGCAGAGGAACAACGTTGCAAGCTGACTGGGTGCAACAAGTCATGACCATGTCTGCAGTATGGGT